GAAGATGCAAAGTCCCCGCATTACCTCCGCAATTACCGCACTATATCTATTATCCCAAACCCCCCCATACATCGAATTCTGGCGTCTGAATTCCAGCCAGAATTGCTCCTTGTAACGCTGAAGGGCTATATCCATACATGTCTAACTTCATCGCTAGCTTCGTTGTCGCGCTCGTTGTCGATGCTCCCAACTCTCGACCGGACGCTTCAAGAAACATCTGCTAAGTGCCAAAACATTATGGCTTTTGAAGCTCTCCTCGAAACCATCAAACCTCCCGCTCACCCTTTTCTTAACTACAATTACCCCTCACTTTCCATTCACTCGGAAACCACTAGACCTACATCAAATCCATCCATCAAAGTCAAAGACAACCTTCTCCAACCATTGCTTCATTGCCTCGACACATCCTCTCTCCCTTCCTACTTCTGGCGCTCACTAGCCTCGTCCCTCTCAACACGGGTTCAAGAGATTATCAACCGCGGGGGCGTCTCCGCAAGAACCCTGAGATCGAACCGGGAGCGGCTCCGTGAGCAATTGAGGGAGTGCGTTCTGCGGGGCTCGCATCTACCAAATAATAGCGTCACTAGACTTGGAGGGTCTACGGGTCCTATTGTGGTGGGTAACTGGGAACGAGAAGCAGCTGTGATGGTAAGTGCAGTTGTAGGTCCTCTGGGAAGGTAGGAAAAGGGAATGGGAAAAGGGAAAGAATACAAAAGAGAAAGAGACAACCCGCGTCGTACGGCTCTTTTGGATGTCTGAATTTTTACGATTCTATTATCACCCCAAGATGTTACTAGCGAGCGAGTTATCCAAGTTTCAAATGCAGATGTTAGCTTAAATTTATCGTCTAATGTAGAACCCTACCTTGGAGAAGGCGAATAAGGATATTTTCACCATGATAGGAGAATGTGGCCTGGCCCATAACTGACCTAACTTGCAAAACATCAAGAAAAGTTTTGGCCACAGCTTTTCGGCATGTGCGGGTACATGCACAGTACAAGCCATCAGCTTTTTGAACCAGCAATCCTTGTCGTTCTTCCTGGTTGATAAAGACCATACTTCGCCGAAAAGCAAAAAAATTACGACGTGGCCTAGCATGTTATCACATGCTTCTTCGTTCAACATCTCCCCTGTCCTTTTCGTTCTCTTTTTTCCCCCGCCTCTGTTATTGAGTACCCCACTACTCACCCCTCCAAGCAGCCCTCCCCTACTTACCCAAAGTAAAACAGACTTTCGGCCAGGATCTGCATCTGGCAATCAATCGCTTTCCATCAGATCACAGTAGCGGCATACCAGACATGGATGTGCTCTGTGTCACATCGCATGGCAAGACGCGTGGCGCCTGCTCAGGGATTGCCCTTTTTGCCCCTCTGGGGCTCCATGTTCTTGGCGAACCTTCTTGAGCATTGGCGAAAATATAGGTGTACCATAATACCCCTGGTTTAATTGGGGTGAGTCCAACAATCGATTAGGTAGAAGCGGCTTTGGTTAAGGTTCAGGGCATCATCAATCAATCAAAGTGAAGCACCCCCTTTCTAGGGCGTCAAGCCCCCGAAAACCAGAACCTAACCAGGCTCCCTCCTTCCGAGGGTAACGATGATCTAGTGTACTAGTATTATTTTTTTCGTATGAGAGGTCATATTCCGCCGCATTCCGCCGCATGTGTGTGAGAGTCAACTCATTTTCTAGACCCATCTGCGAAAAATGGTTCAGCAGTTGTGGGTGGGTGGGGAGGGGGGAGGTTTACTCTCTCTTAAAATGGAGTTGAGAGTTGAAGTGGCCTCTTGTGAGGTCTCCTTCCATTTTTAGGATTTGCTGGTGTTCTCCAAGGTTTCGCTTTTTGAGTTTTTCTTGATAACCTTGTACCCCCGATGGTTTGAGGGGAGGCAAAAATTGATTGATAAAAGGGCGATGGATGATATAGCCCATTTTCCCGGTTTTGTTCCCGTCAGTTATTTGTAAAGGGGCATTGGAGGTTGGTAACTTGACTTTTTCACCATTTCTCAACCATGGACGCCTCACCATGTACCTGCAGGTCCTCATGGTCAAAACCATAATTTGTCCCTGTCTAGAACCTCCTCCCCGACTTACCCCTCACCGTGCGCGAGTTCAAGTTATTATGGTCGTATTTGAGGTTTTGGTTTGCTGGTGCGCCTTTTCTGCATTTCACAAAGATGTCCCTTGAATTTGATACCTCCAGATGACAAGGACAACTATAACTGGTTTCGATCTCGACTTGTTCAACTTTGCACAGGCCAAGTCAGCTCTCTTCATAGTTTCAGACTTCTAATATAGTTTGTGTTACAAGCCAGAGAAGCTTCGTAAAAGACATGACGAACGATGAGAAGATCAAGAATGGCGCGTGCGCAGTAGAGAAGGTTGGCCTATTGTTGAATGAGGGGTATATTTTATTGTCGATGAAGAGACCCGCTTTTGCGGAATGCTTTTGTCAACAATGAATTTACTGTTTGCACAGGTAGTTGTATCCGGATATAGGGCAGGCATCGCCCAGGCACATTTGCAATCCCCTTCCCTACTGGCGTACATATTAGTGTCAGTATAAAGTTGTCATCCGGGGAGCGTACAATCAATTTATTTCGCCTGCCCCTCCTCTGCCCTCAATCCAGAGAGTCAAAAATATCTTGTCTGAAACACATAGTGGAACCTCCCCCCAAACCAAAAAAACACGATTGAACAATGAAGACAAACCCTTCTAACCAGAAACGTTTATATTTCTCTCTTTGTTCTCCCCGTTTCCCCGCAATTATATGCGTCAATATCCACGGCACCAAATATGATCGGTAACGTTGTAGCATCATCGCCTTGCGAAGTTGCGCTGTGACCACCCCATGCCTTGTTAACTTAAGAGTATTGTGTAAAGAAAAAAGTAAATAGAGGAGGTCGTCCTTTCATCAATTCTAGTTTCTTTTTCACTTATAGATATAGATGTACATATATATATATATATCTTGTGATATCTTTTCGTCTCTTTTTCTGTTTTATGTTTCCTAATGAAGAATATTTCCGAAACATGAACTGTGTTGAAATGACGTCACTATTTTTCCCCCACAGACAATTTAAGAACCAAAGAATTACTAACTAGTAACTAACCCTTAATTAAGCAATTGAAATAAATTGCCGATATTTTTTATATATTTATAGGATATGTTTTCCCTCTCCCTCTTGCTTGCTATACCGACAACAACATCCGCGGGTTCAGCTATAAACAACAGCTGCTCTTCCCGCTCAGATACTTACTTACCTTACCTCCTTGTACACCTCTGCCAGCGCAGCTGTCACCGCAGCCACACAGTGCTCAGAAGCCGAGCACAGCGTTTTAGCCCAGATTCTTCTCATGATAGTATTTTTAAAACCTGTAACAAAACACGCAAGGTGGTTGGTTGGTGGTTGGACACAAGGGCAATGCAATATTCGGTCCGTGGGTGTCCCCCAGTTCTCCTTCCTCTTGAGGATATATACAAGTATAGAGATAAAAAATACAAAGTATGTAACTGCACATCTGGCATGTGGGGTTAGTTCAAGGGCATTAATGGGCAATATGATTACCCTTTGATGCTTGCATGCGGTCCTCCTTGTGCTTGTCAAGAGGAAAAAAAAGGAAAAAGAAAATAGAAAACCCATAGACTTAAAAGCCCAGGAATTTGTTCAAATTGTATCATCGTACTCCGTACAGTACTTGGGTAGGAGTATATTGATAAATATTAATAGTATCATTTCCCCACATCGGAGCCTGGAATACTCTAAAACACAATTGGGCCCACGCTCACCGGTTCATCCTTCCTTCCTATTGGGTGGATATTTTCAGAAAAATTTTCTACTTGCTGCATCAGTAGTAGTAGGGAAAAAAAAAAAAAAAAATGTATATGAAAGATACCTGGTTTTGAAATTGGACGGAATATAGAAGCCGGTCCACGATAACTTTTGAGGAAGAGACTTCGGGTTGGGATAGAAGCGGGTGAGCGGAAATTGTCAATGTGTTTTCCCTTCTTACTCTCTATTGGAGGGATCTCGATGGTGACCTGGCTGCTTTGTGTAAGCTTGCTTTCCCCGTAGACTGTGCGTTGCTATATAAAGTAAGTGAATCCCGAATCAATGAACAAGAGAGACAAAAGTGGGTATTTGTAGGAGACCTCGTGAAGTAGACGATGGGCAAGGGAGATCGGTTGGAACTACTCTGTACACCATGCAGGTATTTGTCAACTACTACTTGAAGATGCTGTCAAAGTGATACTTATCGGTTGGAATAGCTAAACGCACACTATATAGATTACATGATAGAAGCCGTAAATCGGGAGAAAAAAAAAAAAAAAAAAAAAGCATGATCGTGGATGGATCCCCTTAAAACCGGTTTGGCATCCAACTGTTCTGCCGTCCGCCGTCAAGCTTGCCACCACCTATCAGGATTTTTGCCATGTTATCCTTTTGCATTTGTTTGACGCTTCTAGATTGCTCCATTCATCCATACAGTGTACAGGCAGCTACCCCTATGGGCTGTATATTTCTTGTTCCCCAGACTCCATCTTTCCTTTTTCTGCTTTTTATTACGCTTCTGGAGTCCTGCGGGTTAATATATGACCTGTACAGCCACGGGCACGGGCCACGGGTATAGTACAAGGGGTAATGTATCTACACTGGCGATCCGTATAACCAGCGCCCGTAGAATTGTTTAACAGGTCGAGGTGCTTGTGCATGTACAGGTACAGAGTCCATATTCCGAGCCCATCGGCAGGTACCCACGTCTACCCCATTCCACGGATCGATCGGGTTTGAGTTTTCCCCCAATTGAACAACTGCCTTCGCGCCAACCTTAAGGGGAGTCCTTGGGAGATTTTCGTCCAAGCCAAGCGCGTGCATGGCAACCATGGGATTCCTCAGCAGTTGATCCGACCCCCAGGGCCCCGGCAAAGCCCGCGCGCCAGGGAAAAGGGTCCTGGCCCTAAATTCTGGCTAACCCCTCCCTCCCCATGCCCATCGCTTCCCCTCCTCTTGCCAAGTGGCCATTCCGTCCGTACATTGTCGCCTGCTATACGGAGT